CCCCAAAACCCCAAAACCCCAAAACCCCAAAACCCCAAAACCCCAAAACCCCAAAACCCCAAATTAGGGAAGTATGGTTGAGCTAATTAGTAATTCTTCTCAAGATCTATGTCTTTGAACGTCCAGAAAGCCTCATCCTCGACCAGGTTCGTCTTGATTCTGTCTAGTTCTACGTTGATCTGCTTTATCCCAGCGAACTCATTGCCCAAGTTGATGGCAAGCTCTCCCTCACTTTGGAACGTGAAGAGGGAATATGGAGAAATAATCACTTCATTTGGGTGATAAGAAGGTGATCCATACATTTCATTGATCATAGCACAGTTATTACACTTTGCTGGAACTTTAATGTTGACCAAAAAGCCTTTATCACATTTTTCAGGGAGAATGCTCCCGTAAAACTTGTCAAGAGGCATTTCTTGCGGGCAGACTTGAGCTGTAGTATAGCTGATGATCCTATATCTATCTTTCTTCTCTGATTTCTGAAAGAACGGCTTCTTAACGAAGATGTATCATTGGTAATTCTCATCATAATTGTCACCAGTGTAGGCTATGAAATGGTTCAAGGCCAGGAAGAACTTTGTAGATGTTCTTAGCACTGTTTTATAGTAGTTTATAGCCTTTTTCTTAAACAGTTTCCTGAAGAAATCAGGAATCTCATCTGTTAAGCAGCAGTGGAGAGAGTCAAAGATTAAGGATTTGATTAAGTATCCGGAAATGTCACCTAGATGGAATGAGAGGAATCTTACTGTCTTTGGACCAGACTTCAGTCACGAATTGACGTAGGATTTGATCTGGCTGGTTTGAGGATATTTTTCTCTTAGCTGAACTACAAATAATATTAGAAGGAAATTTGTAAAATCCTATATTTTGCTAAAATTTGTAAAATTGGTGATATTTGATAGATTCTACAATTTAAGCTGAGAATAACTCAGAAAATGTTGTTCTATTCCCAATGTCTATCGATACAGGTATGAAGAATCATATAATGCCAAGAATTCACAATTTTTTCCAAATTTGCCTCTAACTTTCACATACTTGAGTGCATTGTCTAACAAGTCTCTCTCAGGATCATTGCGGTAGATGACTTTCAAGTCAGATATAATTTCTTCGGCAGTAAATAAAAGCTTCTTATTTGTATCAAACATTTTGTACAACCTGTTAAGTCTGTAGTAATAAGTATCTCAAAGCTTTCTGTATGGGTTGTTCTTCGGGTTGATATCAAAGCAATTAAAGCGGCTATAAACATCATGGGCTTCCTCCTCGTTCATAGTGTGGTTGTAGAGTTGCATTATGATCGAAACCGCACTATACTTGGTTTCAGCTAGTAACTTCGCATTCTCTTGCTCGTCTACAGGTTAGGGCGGGGCTCTACCGAGATCTCATTTTTCAATGTGATTCTTAGTGTTTTCTTCCATTTGCCTGCCAACTCTGTATTTGACTATATCTTAAAGAGTAGTTTTACTTGTCTTCTTGGTCTTTTCATTTGTGTCAGTGAGTTCTTTCTCAAAATAACTGTTAATTTCTTCCATATGGTCTTCCCGGATTTCACCCTTGCGCCGATTTTCAAAGTATTTCTCGAGAGATCTAGGGAGCTTGAAGTTGCCAGTGATGTAGACTACAAAGGCAACTACTGAGCCGATAATGATCAGGATTGGAATTAAAACCATGAAAAATTTGGCTACCCCTTCATCCTGTGCCTTAGCTGGAATTGTCTTGTAAAAATCTATGAAATTGTCACCGATTTTGGGGCTGAAAAGCCATACCTGGATATTCCTTAATAGAATCTTTGCCTTGGTTGATATCTCTGATGATCTTGTAGCTGAGCGAGGAATTATTTTAGATCATCTATGATTGTGGTGGCTTCAAGATAGGAATCCATTTCTTCGTCAAGATGCGTTTCCTTATATCCCTCAACCTCATTGATATGAGCACTGTCGTAGTACAAATCATTTGTGAAGGCTGGCTCAACTCTGGCATGTTTTCTTAAGGCAAGCCCTAGATTCTCAGGAGCATTCATATTTGGACGACTTTGAAAATTAATTTTAACGTTTATTTTTTAGAGAATAAACACCCTTTGGAAGCAACAATGGGGTTTTGGGGTTTTGGGGTTTTGGGGT